GGGCAAGATCTTTACAAATACTGGATAAATCCACAAGCAAACCCCAAAGTGCATAAGTACACGTGCTGACCAACATTTTTGTAAACTTTCAGGCCTACAGGGCAAATACCTTTTGAGCTATGCATGAATAAGTTGTAATTGCAAAATTTAAACTAAGTAAAGGGCAATAACTCTAACAAAACTGTAAAAAATCCACATGCAAAACCCCAGGTGCATAGCCTAACAATGATGATGATCATTATTCCAGTAAGGTTGGTTGATTGAAACTTAAGCACTAAAGGAACAAATAACACAACATAATGGAACGGTTTTTACTAAGTCAAGGACAATAACTCTAGAAATAATAAATCCAGAAGTGAAACCCCAGGTGCACAACTACACATGCTGGCACACATTCCTTTTAAGTTTTATGATTCTACGTTAAATACTATTTGAGCTACCCACATCACAAATTGAAAATTGCAAAACAGAAGTCCACAAGCCAAACCCCAGGTGCACAACTTCACACGTGACAAGTGTTGAAAATTGCAAATTATTACTAAGTCAAGGGCAATAACTCTAACAAAACAAATTAAATCCACAGACGAAACTACAGGTACACAACTACACATGCTGATCAACATTCCTATAAAGTTTCATGACCCTAGGTCAAATACTTTTTGAGCTTTGAGCGACTCAAATTGAAAATTGCAAATTTTTACTAGGTCAAAGGCAATAACAATTCCACAAACTAGGTTCACAACTTCACATGTTGAGCAACATTCCTGTAAAGTTTGAAGACTCTAGGTCAAATACTTTTTTGAGATACCTGCGACACAAGTTGAACATTGGAAATTTTTACTAAGTCAAGGGCAATAACTCTACATATACTAAATAAATCCACACGAAAATACCCATGTGCACAACTAGACATGCTGAGCAACATTCCTGTATAGTTTCATGACTCTAGGTCAAATACTTTTTGAGCTACATGCGACTCAAACTGAGAACGGACGGACAGACAGATGGATGGACGGATGGACAGGGGTAAATCTAACTGCCCCTCGCCCCTTATAGTGGGGGGGGGCACAAAAATGTAGTCAATGTTAAATCGAATCTCACATATGCTTTTTCATCTAATGTACTATAATAAATAAAGAGCGACACTGAAAAATGTCATGAAAAATCAACGAGATTGGCAATCGCAACTACTCGGCCCTTTCCGTCAGTCTTCGGATAAGGACCTCGAACACAATAGTGTGAATACACAGAACGGATGCGTTATTTCGGTCTAACCTACGCTTAGAAACTAAACATGTAAACAAATAGTATTTTAATGCTGGGAGTTGTAAACAAGTTTATTTTCAATATATGTAGTAAAAGTCCACCTCAAATAAGTGAATTCATAGGTACATAAGCAAACAATACATTATTTATACATGTATATTTATTATTATGGCTGTAGAAACCGAAAGTACAAAAAAACCAACCTGTTGACATTTAGTCGGATTTGTTTAAAATTGAACATCAGTGGGCATATTTAAAGTACAAATTGTTGTCAGACATATTTTCAAGCATAAGAGTACCGGAGCAGACATTAGATGTCAAATATATACATTCGTTTTACATTATCTCTGTTTCTGTTTACATCTGAAACCACGTGGTAGAACTACTTTCAATCCGTATTGTTTCCGAGGTTATTATAGATAATAGCCGAGGCAGTTCCAAATGTGAGAGTGGGGCGTACGTGGCAGAATGGTTACGATTGACTTGAAACCACTTGCCTCTTACCACTGTAGTTTCGAGTCGCGCAAGCGTTGTACATTACAGTATTTTTACTTGTGGAAAAAAGATCCAAATATATCCAGCTCGGAACGTCGGTAGTCCGACTCAGATGCCCGTTTGTGACAGTGCCTTGTAACCCCGCACTTTGGATTAACACACATTAAGATTGACCCCAAAGTGAGTAACACATGTACATATAACATTCTTAACATCAGACAGGCGACCGCACACTGGGGTCATAAAATTAAATCAATAAAATGAAATTTCGTGATATTTTAAAGTAATATCTTGTTGTTTATGTCAATGGTTTACTACAAATAAGTACGCGAAATCAATTATGTGACTCATAGAGTAGAGGCCTTTAATTATGATTGTTAGCTTTGCCCTGGTCATTGTAGCGGTGTCGTGACGTAGATAGTTCAATATTACCTAAGTTCAGATTCTTGTCGACGACACACGACGATCTGTCGACGACAATTTAAAAACTGGATTTTCCTTTTTCCCTATTTCTAATTATAAACATGTTCAAAAGAAATTAATCTTCCGTTTGATGGCGGTCATTTTAAAACGGTGGTACATAAAACAGATATACATTATTTTGTAAGACCTGAAAGATTTCATGATTCAAAATATAACATGTCTCGTGCTGTAAATTAACGTTAACATTTAGTTTCACTCTTGTCATTTTATTTTAATCTTAAGATAGAGACCAAAATGACCACAAACTGAATTAATGTGTACTTAAGGTTCCTTTTAATTAACTAATGCTAGCAGTTTTCTTTTCAACATTGCATACGTTTTCATAAGCGATGTCATGTGGTGAAAATATTAAGGAAATTCGAAAATTAGACTAATAGCTGTACTATAATGTATGTTATGTCTTACTTACTTGTTACCAGTCAATTAAACAGAAATTGCATGGTTTGAAAATAAGATTCAATGAGATAAAAGGCAAGCCTCGTTACCGCCCAATGGGCGGGTCACCTCGGGACGGATATTCCGATCCGAACCGCAAAATATGACAGATATTATTAATATGCAAAAAGTTGGTTACATAGTCACACTTTTTGTGATCTTTAAAGTGGTAAAATACATAAAACATTTATCACTTACATTTTGATAAGCAACAAATGCATTTTTTCAGTAACTGATACTTTTAGAATTTAAAATTTAATTTGAGACTTTAAATGATACTAAGTAAGGTTGTTTGATTGCATACTGATGTATCTAAGTATCGACCGTAATCTTGCGCTCAACCTTAAATATTTAAGATTGAGGAACGAAAATAAATCAGTACTCGGTATTTGATATGATATGTAGCATTTTTACGCAAATTTTGAGGTTCATTTCTCGATTTTAACTCCAAAGTACGTTTGACCCCTAATTGCACTGAGAAGTAACCGCACTTTGGGATTGGACCTCAAAGAACGTTTGACCCAAACGTGCGGTGTAGCAGTACCTCAAATAATGTATAGAGGGACACCTGAGGTCTTCCCCTACCAGTAAAGTTGGAAAGTCGGCATATGACATACATTGTATTAGTGCGATGTAAAGCCCAACCAAAAAAGATCAAAGAGAGACTGCAACAAAAGAATATTGACAGTTACTTTGTTGTTTTTTTTTTGTTGTTTGTTTTTTGTAGTTGATTTTCATTTTCGGGTGGGGATTGTTGCTTATTTGTTTGTTTTTGTTTTTGTTTTTTGGGGGGTGGGATTAGTCGCCGCATTGTCCGTCTGTTCGTTCCCTTTTTCTTGTCCGGGACATAACTTTGAAACTACAAAAGGTATGAACAAGAAATATTGTAGATTGAGTTAAAGTGCAGTGCAGTAGAACCGTACCTCCCACTTTTACACTTTGTTCGAGACTTAACTGAAACTACAAGAGATATTAACCAGAAACTTCTTCTCTGGGTGCAAAACCTATTTGGGGACTATCAACCGGTTCTTAGGGGGGTGGGAGTGTTGTTGTTTTATTTTGAAAATATAGGGAAACTCCGAGATAAGGGTTTGCGATAAGTTGATGAACAAATCTACTGGACAACTGCTATGCCTTATCATGCCTGCATTACCGAACTCAACTCGACTCGCCATCTTTGACTCGCCATCGTTGACTTGCAATCTTACATGTACTAACGGAAGGACGAACGTTTGTTAATTATTTGACACTTTTATCTGTGAAACCAGGTCGAGAACAATACATGTCATGTTATGTGTTATATATTTATATGTGTATGTATATTGTAAAGTAAAGATTTTGAAAAGCGGAAAACCAAATAAGAAATCTAAGGTGTGCAGAAAATACGGTAGAAAAAAAGGTTTCGCCTTACCCTATGATACTTATATCATATACTTGACAAACTAGGTTTTGAGTGATTTATATATACCTCGAACATTTTATAACATACAATAACTTGTTTGTCCGCCTCTCTTAAACATAAAACTTCATTGTGGTTGTAAAAATATAAAACTCAAATTTATAACTTTAGACCTCCTCACTGCATCAAGAGATGATTGCAAAAAATAAAGATATTTTAGAGCACTTGTTTACCAAACTAACAACAATTTCGCAATGCTTAAGAAACGTTAAAGGGCCTCTATAGACGTGTTATAAGATTACGTAATCGTAACTGATTATACTTTTGAGAGATTTTAAAACAATTTGATACTTTTGAGAGATTTTTAAACATCTTGATGTTGGTCTATGAATTTGTGTGCAAAATTTCAAATCATTGGCTCACTCAGTTAAGCTTATAGACACACTCTAGAATCCGTTCCTGGAACCAACCAGTTCTGAACGATGAGTGTAAAGAAACATCGACTTGCCTCTGACGGGGTTTACCCACACGGCCATGGATCCTTTGATTAGTAGTCTGTAGACACCACTCAGCCTTGTCAACACACAAGAAATGTTTTTAACTGTATTTATTGTTACAAAAATAATGTATTCAAAACAACTGAAATATTTTCCCTTTATTAATTATCATGTATCTGAAATCATCTCCATGGGTCTTAACATAAGGGTCTGTCATGTTTTGAAATATATTTGATGTTTTGATTTTTTAAAACAGGGATTTTTTCAACACAATACCTATACATATATCTTATTTGAACTAAACTGAATAATCTGTAGAATGTGCAGCGAAATAAATGTTCTTTTATATGTACAACTCCCAAAAATTATCTAATAACATCTATAATATTATTATAAACAGCTCTTTTGAATATATTTTCATTTAGCATGGCGTTCAGCTTACATGTTGCCCATATCTGTGTTGTAATGTTCTGTGTAATGACTATCACGGTTCAGCAAACAGTAAATGACGAAGTAAGAACCTATTTGGATGGTTACAATGAGAGAGCGGAAGCAGTAGCGAACCAATATTCATTAGCATCATGGGCATACTACACCAACCTTACTGATTACAATAGAGACAAAATGGTACGGTTGTGAAATCTGTGGTCACAGATTTAACATTATATCTGTGTATTTGGAATCTATATAAAACAAAATCCTTCACAATAAATGAAGCCTTAAATATAAATTGTATGAAATAATATCAAAAGTTTGTTAATGTCTGTACTTTTCTTTGTTAACTGCGATATTTGCATGTTTGCAACTAAATGAAAATCAAATATAAAATGAAAATCAGATTAAGTATCAAATTTAAGTAATCTTAAGGATTAAGAAATAAATAATTGAAACATTGCTATTTGTACAGATATCAATTTACTCTGAAAAGCCGTGGTGATCTAGATAAAACCTAATAAAGATATATCTTATAATTTTCTGAGTATAACCTTTCAGACGGAGAGGAGTCTCGTATCTTCTGATTTTTCCAAGAACGAGTCTGAAATTGCAGCGGTTTTCGATTTGAATGCAATTACAGACGAGAGTTTAAAAAGACAGATAAACAAGATTCTAGATGTCGGAATATCTGGTTATGAAGACAAAGAAGTCATTAAAAGGGTAAATATTTATCTGTCTTTAGGTAAGATAATTGGTTTAATGCCAATGGGTCATTGTGGAGTTTTAATGCGGCTTAAAGGATTCAATATCAAGCAGTTAATTCTATTGCCAAAGCGAATTTCACGTTAGTATTCTATCCATTTACGAGAAAACGACGCCACATGACAAACGTATTAGAAAATTGGTTGTTTTGTTTTTATACTTTTCCATGCCCTTGAAAGTGTAAATAGTGAGTGCATACGTAAACGCCAAAATAACTTTTTGAATACATTTTCCCATGATTGATTCCCATAATTGTGTCCAATTTTAAATTTTCTATCCAAAAACGATCAATATTCCACGTGACCCACGAACAGTACTATAAATGTCGTTCGGAATGTATCGTAAACGTTCAATTAAAAAAAGAGAGTGACAAATTCTTTTTATAATTTATGTGTTTTTTATATTTTATCATAAACATTCTCTCATTACTAATAATTGGTCAATCACCATTGATATAAATTATTTTATTACTTATTCTGATGAATTAGGCAGCAAAAGAATGAGCATAATGTCACTTTAATATGTTTAACAGATCAACACTCTTGAAGCAGACATGACGGGCATCTACAGTGGAGCTACCTGGTGCAAAACACCTGATGATTGCAAGCAATTAGAACCAGGTTTGCTTTCATAACCTTTCACGATTAAAATCATTACCAGTGACTTTCAAAATGAATACAAGTATAGAACTGAATTGTTTTCGTGCTGAAAACACTGAATACTAGGCCAATCATTTTGTAAATTATTATATTTTAGTAAAACCCCAACAACGAATAAATTTATATTGAATTATAAAAGGAGAGTTTCTTTAAACTACTATATTAGTCCTTTTAAAGTTAAAACTTTATACATGTATTTTCAATTAATTTAAATACTAAATAAAATTGGATATGTCTGTTTAGGAACTTGACTATTTAACATATTTCTTGTGAGTTTTAAATATTTGTTTGAAGATATGTATTTTAACATTACTTATAAGCCAAAGTTTATATTTAGGACTGACTGACATTATAACAAATAGTCGTGACTATGACGAGCTTCTCGAGGCTTGGAAGGGGTGGAGAGACGTGAGTGGGGCTAAAATGAAGGACAAATATGCTGAATTTGTCCAACTCATGAACAAGGCGATAAAGGCTGGAGGTATTATTTGTTGTTTATGATATATCTTATTACATATAGTGCATGATGAGATCGTGTATCATTTACATGTCAAGCATATCATAATAAGACATATTGTAATTTCTACATGAAGTCCGATGTACGGTCGCAAAACATTTTGTACACATTGTACATTATTTCCTAGTATGACTCAATCTACCCATTACTTCAACCATCCAAATCCGTTAATATTTCCATGTCTCTGAATCTCCCCATTTTAAAAGTATATATAGATATTGAAGTCTAAGATTAAAGGTTCAAAGTTCTTTTCCTCCATGCCGAAGAATTGCATTGTATTTTATTTTAATAGATTATCAGTAGATTGCTCCAATGTACTCTCCTGTGCATCGGACAAATGTTTCAATATCGCTCACTTTTAACGGCAGTGTATTCACTTAGCTTCGAAGGGGGCGTAGCTCCCGTGTGTCTATACTGTGTTCCATAGCGAGTTTTTAATTGCTCATGCATACTTCTGTTACAGGGAAGTATGCAGATATGGGGGCTTATTATAGGTCCTGGTATGAACAGGATGACTTCGAGGAAGACGTTAAACGTTTATTCGATGAACTTAGTCCTTTGTATGACCAGCTACATGCATACGTAAGAAGAAAGCTGAGAACAATATATGGGTCTGACAAATTTCCAAGCGAGGGTCATATTCCTGCTCATATATTTGGTACGTGAATTACTGTTTTTTAACGTTTAATACTCGTAAATGTCTACATTATATATAGAGGATATTTGTTTGTTTGTGTGTAAGATGAAATTTTATTTCATCGAGTGGGCTTTAAAAACAGTATTCTCACGAGTGGCGTAGCCACGAGTGAGAATACTGTTTTTAAAGTTCACGAGATGAAATAAAATTACATCTTACACAACAAACAGACAAATTTTCTTTTTATTTTATGCTTAAAAACAAGTTAAAACGAAATTTCCATAATTTTAACGTTAATATTAAAATTTGTTTCCCCCATTGAGAGCCCCATTTAGACGGAATTTCACATTAAAAACAAGAGGTCTTGAGCTGAAAAATAAGTCCGCCAATCAAGGTTAAATGACGGTGATATTTATTCATTTTATTAAAAAAATATGAATGATCGCTTGTTTTAATAATAAAAACAAACACTTCTTGTAGGAGAAAAAGTCCAACCATCCATCCATATTTCTGTTACTTACTGCGAATTTATATTAGACCTGGCTTTGTAAAATGTAAGCGGCAGCCATTTTTTAAAGTTGTGTATTTCATGGGATGAAAATAATTGTGTAAGATTCAGAGGGATATAATTTGGATTTGTTAGTCATACACCTTTTTAAAAGAAAGAAAACTTATTTGAGGATTGTAACAGACAAAAAATAAGTGTTGACAGAAGTGAAAACATTCAGAAAAGGAGCTAGGAAAATGGAAAACTTGGAAGCTTAGCGGAACGCTGGGTTGTTTTACTTATTTTACGAGTGATGGCTGTCAATGCTTTTCAATTTTTCATAAAGCATACGGCAGTTATTGCTCGTAGGATACTTTAATATGCCCAAATGTCATCAAGAGCAGTTTTGCATGGGGAAGGAATGTATTTTTCAGACTGTAAAAACGAAACAAAAAAAATTAGAGACGGAATTTGGTGATTGGAATTTGAATGAATAAAAGTAAGTTTTCTCTCTATTACTTTTGACATTTAAGTTATTTATCTATTTCAGCTTTGCTTTTTCTTTTAACAGCCTGACATTATCAGAATTGTCAGTAAAAATAAAATTGAGGTACCACATGGGGAAAATCTTAAAAAAGAAGTTTCGTCATTGAAAAAAGTGAAATTATATTTTGATAATTTTTACTGTGAAATTATCAAATATAATTTTCACGGATAAATCAGTAATCCACTGAAAAGCATAAAATAAATAGATATATTGCATGTTTCATGCTGGCATTAGATTCGGTGGATTCTATCTAGCATTTAGCCGCTTCAATTATCATACATGTATATATGTATTGTATATATTTCAAGAACATTATAATTTGGAACTAATGTGAAAGGTGCTTATACAAGAAATTGTTAATTATCATTTTCACTCAACAGTCAGAATTCGTCAGAATTCATCGTGCTTTCCTTATCTTTTCTTATTCAAAATCCGGTTCTTTTTAAGGTGTACCATTACCTATTGATCACTAATAATTGTAAAGTTAGATGTTTATTAGACATTCTGCTTCTGTTAAAGTTCTGTACACATTTATTTATTATATACTAGGTAATATGTGGGCACAACAATGGGGAAACATTTATGATATTTTGGAGCCTTTTCCCGGTCAGGGAAGAGAATCTCTTACGAATTTAATGAAGGCTCAGGTAAGTTATAGAGACATAACAGTACAGCAAGATTAAAAGTAATGTTGGCATGTATATCAAATGACATGATGATAACATATTTGTTATTATTTTAGATCAAACAGTAGTGCTAATATCTGACAATAACACTTGCGATTATTTAATAAGGCGATCGTTCATAGTATAGGATCTTAAAAATATCTAAACGTTATATCTTAACCACATTATAATTCACCATTGATTAAATCTCGGAATAGAAAGTGAATTACGAATTGTTTCAATTTCGATGTAATTAAAATGTGTGTTATTTTGTCTATATACGTTTTATTTACAATTCGATTAGATTTATTTCCTGATCATTTACCAATTTCCTTTATATACCGACTTTTGTACTCGTAAATTAATTTACCTCTTGAAATTTTGCAATTCTTTTTGGCATTAAGTATATTTTGTTTTCTCAGAATTACAATGTGACATATATGTACGAGGTGGCTGAGGAATTCTTTATGTCAATCGGCATGAAACCTATGCCCGAATCTTTCTGGAGGCTGTCTATGTTAGAAAAACCCGAAGATGGTCGTAACGTTGTATGTCATGCATCAGCATGGGATTTCAATAATGGCACTGACTTTCGGTAAATCATTTATTTTATGTCGACATGTTTTCATTGTTTGATTTTGCAGGTAAGGGAGTACTAGTATTCTAAGCTAATTACCAGATACGTATGAGGATAATAAGTCAAATTAAACGTTCCCTTTGTTCAAATATTTAGCTGTTTTGCTCTAGCTGCAGTTGATTAAATACATACTGATTGCTGAATACACTTCCTTTAGTACAGCGTTCTTATCCTCGCTATAATTAAGGTATGTATCAATGTCGATATTAAGGTACCATGTCGCTAAATCAGGTATGAGAATGACCAATATCATTACATAATGGACTAGTTCTGTAGATGTTTTCAAATAATTCAGTTCTGTTCCATAGATTGCCTTTCTATTAGTCCTTGCGTTGAATAATATTATGCCTCCTGTTCCAGATGTATCTGCCAAGCGTTTAGAACTAACCTAGTGATGCCTTTTTCAGGATCAAGCAATGTACGGAAGTAACAGAAGACCAGCTGATAACAGTTCACCATGAAATGGGACATGTGCAATATTACCTTGAATATTTAGATCAGCCGTATTTGTTTCGACGCGGAGCAAATCCAGGTTTACTCATGATTTAAGTAATTACTGTATATTCACATGAGTATGTGCCGGCTTTGTTCATAAGTCTATCTTTAGTTATCATTAGAATCCGGAATGATGACACTTTTGAATAAACAAAACTAAAGAAAAAATCGCACGCATGGGAGGGAACACATTGAATGAATGAACGATATTCCTGATAGCGGAGAGCCTCGAGAGGGCAAAATGCTTTGATTGGAATTTGGTCTATTGAAATAAACTACCTTTTTATTCAGAATAATAGTAATAATGATAATATAATTCGACATAAGTTATCTATAAAAGCCTCATAATTGTAAACATATGTGTATATATTGAAAGTAAAAATAGTATTTCGTTCATGTTTTGCTACTTTTATGACAAATTATTTCACATTCAACAGTTAATTTACACTATGTTTGTCATGTTTGAAACGTGCATTAAATATATCAAGTCATTTGTAAACACAAGTTTGAGGAAGAATGTATCCATTTCTAGGACATCATGTCCAAATGAAAGAATTTATTGTACTCACTCATGTCAGTGAAATCTCTCCGAAGGTGTGTTATTTGTTCTTTATTACCACTTGTTACACCTAAAATCACATTTCTTCTTTTGGGACAATGCAATGATTTGATGTCATATTTCAGGTTTTCACGAAGGGGTAGCTGATATTGTAAGCCTGTCATTCCAAACGCCTGAACATTTACAGAAGATTGGTCTTCTAGAAAATTTGCCAAATGGGACAGGTGTTGTCTAATCTTATTTTAATGTTTACTTAAGAAATATCTTGAGTGCGTTGTTGCGGAATAATGCATGGTTTGAGTTTAAATGCACAATTATATAAAACCGAAAGTCGTGACTTTTTTTGCATACAAATACAGATACAGCCTGCGTTGCAGATATTTGGATGAATTATTTATGTACACTTTCGGCTTTTCTATGGTAACAAATTTTGTACATCAACTTTTCATAAAACATGAAAATAAAGTAAATTTTCCATTACTTTAATTGCGGATGAACGTCAGTTAAGATAGGCCCTTTAACTCCTGCAACCACTTCAATGCAATATTAAATGCAAGTTAATATTTTTTATCGTTATGCAAAATAATGGTTTTAATACTTTTGCCAATTGTTTATATTGTAGAGGGTGACATAAACTTCTTATTTCAAATGGCATTGGACAAAATAGCTTTCTTGCCATTTGGATACCTCATTGATCAATGGCGATGGAGTGTATACAGAGAGGAGACGAAAAAAGAGAACTTCAACAGAGATTGGTGGCAATTAAGGTATGTTATATAAAACTTTGTATGGTATAATAATGTAGGAAGTTTTAAAAAGATTCTGTTTCAATAGGAATATTGACCACAACCATGACACAGTTCCAGTTCATTGGTAAGCTAAACAAGTTTTAATACTCGGTTTATACAGGGAAGCTATCAGAGATGTTAAGTTTATAATCTACTGATGATTGCATGTTGCATGCAGTAAATAATGGGTTTAAAAATTAAATGTGTCTGTAGGTTTTGTTACTACTAGCTGAACGTTTGAATACTAGTACACAGTTTTGTCCATATTATGGGATACTAGTAATTATACGAAACTACGGCATATATACAAATGATGTTTTAGATGAAGCTTTTTGTAATATTTTACATACCTGACATGCTTTATTATGTTTAAAATGTTGTGGATTGTATATAATAGTACATGTGTAGTATAAATTAACCGCTATTGCAGGTGTCGTTATCAAGGGATATCTCCGCCTGTTGCCAGATCAGAAAATGATTTTGATCCTGGAGCAAAGTATCACATACCTGGGAACACACCATATATCAGGCAAGTCCTTATTCATCACTTATTGCACCAAATACAAACTTATAATCATAAACTGTTCCTTACATAGTTAAGATATGTACTACAATAAGTGCCACCATTATAACATGGAATAATTATTTTGAAGATGCCTTTGTTTAAAGAAAAGTAAAAGCATATTATAATTGTCATATTTTATAAATATATAAACATGTACTAGTGTCGTATAAAATCATCATAATTAAGACTTACATAAAATATCAAAATTTATACTTACTTCGGGCGTTAAATCATAAAATATATAGTTTCCTTGCATTAGATATTTGTTTAAAAAAATTACAATGAATCTCCTTATTCTATTATACATTATATTTATAATCTTCATTCTTAATTGTGTATTCATTTTTCAGTTTGCACGTATCCTACTGCGTATTTTTGTATTTTGTTTGAGCATTCAATTACCAATACCAATTGATTTTATAACATTAATGACCATATCCATATGCAACGTGAACTTTTAGTTTCTTTATGTCATTAATAAGAAGCTCTATCAATTACAAAATCTGGTATGACAGTATGTAATTTGTTTCTCATAACTTAAACAAGTCTGTTTTTTAACGAATTCAGCGTTGGTGAACATACCACAGTATCTGGTAAACTATTCCATTCTTGTACATCTCTTATAAATGAGAAGAAATGTTTTCTTATTTCCTTTTTACATGAGTTTATTTTCAACTTCATAGAATTGCCTCCGAAATGATTATTATCAAGTTGTGCTTCTTCAAAAAAAAAAAACATTATAATCTATATATTTCCTCTCGTTTAATAATTTCCATACTTGATACCATGATATCACCTCTAAATCTTCTGTAAGCCAGAGTATCAATTTCCAGAATATTTTAATCTTTCTACAAATGATAAATTCCTGATACATTGAACCGTCTTTGTTGCTCTTTTTTGAACTCTTTCAACTGCTTCAATCTTGGACTTCAAATAATATTTTCCTATTATATCCCTGAAAAAGTATCCTTATCTTTTTTGATGGTTGTGGGAAGTGGGTAGAATTTTTCTTTTTTTTACATATAACATTAACACTTTAAAGGTCATAAGGCGATATGCGAGCTTTTCTGTTAGAGAGTAAATCCTACTGCATATTATATTATGGAACGAGTTTGCAGAAACCTTCCGTTAAGTGCTCTCAGACCTCGTATCGAGTAAAGGAGCAGTATATATGTGTGCATGTCAATATGTTTTGTAGGTATTTTGTAAGTTTTGTCGCCCAGTTCCAGTGGCATAAAGCACTCTGTGAGCTAATTGGACAGACAGATCGACTTCACAGATGTGACATTTATAACAGCACTGTGGCTGGACAAAGACTACAGTATGTGTAACATATATAAATATTGTAAAAGAAATCGAATATTCTACTCAAATAGAATATATTGATGTGCATAACTCGTAAATGTAAGATGTGATGAAAATGTAAACATATGTTATGAACTTCACAACATCATTGTCTTATTTATGGATTACAAACGAACGATATCTTAGAAAAATAAAATGGATTATTTAGCTTTTATGTATAAATGTACATCATAAAAATAATTGATGCGCATTTGATAACAAGGCTTTTGCCGATTTACTTATAGAGAAATGTTGAGAATGGGTTCTTCTCAACGTTGGGGTAAAGCAATGGAGACAATAACACGAAACACAAATGGTTACACTAGCAGACTCAGCGCGCAACCTATTCTTGACTACTTTAGACCTTTGCAGGTAATGTTTTCCTTTGTAACACATTTGTAATTTTAGAAACCTATGCTTGTTTATATTTCTGTTCTAACACAAAATTTGTTCCTTTGCTCATTAGCTCCTTTTTAATATATGCTACATGTAGTACATTTCCCTGTTTGAATGCGCCAAATGAAAATTCGATTGCTATTACACTTGATTTATTGAAATATTTCTTAAAGGAATGGTTAGAAGAAGAAAATACCAAAGCAGGAGAGAAAACTGGATGGGATAAAACAAACTGCCCAAAAGGTTCTTTCGTCGATATATCATCTGCAACGGCTGTCTCATCATCGGTTGCTGTTCTTATGAGCATTGTTATACATATTAGTGTATTACTGTTCTGAACTGACTGACACAAGACTACAGTTACAAAGTTATTTCCGAAAAAAAAGGAAAGTTTGTTGCTGAGTGATATTTGTTACAATTTGTTAAAAGTCAAGAGATATTTTTTAATCAAATGTATACAATATGATTAATTATATGCTTTAATTACATTAATTTAATTAGTTTTAATTTCAATAATCAATTTGATTTATATATATATATATATATATATATATAATATTACACGGACAGATGATATTTGCGTTATTTAAAAAAGAGCAAATTGCTCTAATCTCACAAACTACCTAATCTATATACAAATACTTCCTGGTTTGTAAGCACTTGGTGTCAGATGCAAGTAAAGTAAGTATCAAATTATAGTCAAACAATCTTTAAGTCCATAGTCCTCGTTGTCTGATTATATCTTAGAAGAACTTGTAAACCAATGCCATACGTTCTCTTGTTTAACGCCTCATTGACATTTAGCCGATCTATGTCAGCCATTTATTTGAATAAAGGGATAAGAAATGATCGTTTAGACTAAAAGAATTCAACAAACTTTTCAGTTTCATTATTAAGAAACCAATGTAACGTTTCAAGGTACACAAACCCTGCCGATGAAAAGCTAGCTAGCCACCGAGAGTGGTTTATACACTTATATGGGATACTTTCTAATATGTTAATTCACCACCTTGAGTTTTTGCTCATTATAAGTATTATGACGTTCTACCAACGTCTTTACACCAAGTTTAGTTTTAGTTTTATTGCAATCGTTTTCTGCTTATAAAAGAGAACTACATATTTAGATGTGAATTGGTAAAATGTAAAATCGTGTGTCTTATACTCAAGATTGTGTACTAAACAGTACTATGCATGTTAAGGATTGCTAACCAATACGGTGTTGAATCATTTTTATTTTTTTCATTTTATTTTTAGAAAGTGTTAAAAGAATTTTGGTGCAAAAAGTCTCTCAGTCTCATGTCGTTTACATAGAAACCATAACAAGTAATGGTGAAAACATTGTATTTCTTGAATGGAGTTTCCTATGCTTGTTCTTACAAAGATTTAAAATATTTCCACGGATTCATGCGGAAACTATTAGCTTTATGTCTTTGTCTTATGATGTACATGTACATTGTTTTATATATCATTATAAATTGCTGTGAATGATTAATCTGAGAAAAATTGTCTTTATATAGAATATAGTGTTATTTTTATTCTTTCCAGCAGCAATTTTTATTTTTTTATTACTTCATCAAAAAGGACATGCAAATTTTAAACTTGTTTGCCATATTTAGATGAAGATATAACTCGTGCTACGACCTATCAGTGTGTGTATTTCTCCTCAGTCGTGCAGTAATGCATTATTGACTATTGCTTATGTACACAGCTTGAACAATACTGTTTAGAAAATCCATAAGCATCCATAAACAGGATTATTAAAACCGACCCTGAAACAATTTCGTTTTTGCCGTTCTTGGCGTTCTTTAGGGATTCTGTTTTTCTGTATTCTAAGACTAGAAATATTCTCTGCTTTTCATGGAATGGCACTAACGTTTTTCATTGACAGTTCCATGATAACTGCAGTATGATCGCACCTAAATTTTAAATTCTACTAAAGTCGGTGCTAGAGGACGTGGACGGTAACTAGCAAATACCATTTTTATTAGCATTTTTACCTAATTATCACCAAATGAACTGTGGGTTTTATTTAGATTGATTATCAAATACAATTTAAGAAATAAGAATTGCATGTTATTCTCTTCTTGATGTTGATGGGATGTTTTATAGTATAGGAAGACAAAAAAAACACATTGCAAACAATTTGTGTCTTTTTGAGTTAAACTTTATTCAAACGAGCGTTTGCTTATGACACAAAATACTTAACAGGCACTGCCACATACACCGATGTTGGCATAATTACCGACTTTATTATCGTCGTACACATGCGTCAGTAAGTTATACAAGGGATTGTCAATCTGATAAAGATGGGTCCTTGATTGGTACTCGGACGTACAAAAATTACTTCCGCTGCACCTGAAATTGACACAAAGATTTAATATAAACCTAAAGATTTGATCACAAGTAAAGGAAGAAAAACAAATTTATATTAATATTCCTGTGTTTTTAATACAAATAGATACGCTATTATAGTTTGTCTTTTAACAATAATCAGGCTCTTAGTTAACAAAAGCGCACACTGTGATGAAATAACATTATCTAAAAAGGGCATATACGTGCATTGTAGATGAAAATGTTCTCTAATGAATATAAATTATATTTATCAGTATGAATATTATACTAGTCATACTGTTTCTAAAATATCTGGCTTTGGTCTTTTTTATCTAGTTATCAGGCATACGTTAAGACGCTAAGTCTATGCATAGAAACACTCTTCTCTATCATAATTGACTAGAAAGGTTATCTTACAGATCCATGTGATTGCCGTTTCCCCTATATCGTTGATGGTCGGCATTGAAATACACCGCTGACCCAACAGCAAAATATTCCTCAACGGTTGCCATGGGATAATAATCAGCCCACAAACGTGCCGATTTAGCATGGTTGTAAGCGGAATTTACCTGTTGATATATCAACATATAGGTTATTGGCAAAAAAAAAAACACATAAATTATTAAATGAAATCATGTTTGCGTTAACTGCATCAAGGCAAAAAGAACCACTTTAGTTGATATACGGCACACTGATGATGGTTTACGTTCCAAGTAACAGCAAAGAACTAAGCTACAATATCGTTAGATACATTTTAGTAGTACCTTCGTGCGAATAGTATATAATGTGTCTTTTTGATATTTGTCTGTTACAATCTATACATGTAGTTAGAATTATTATTTGTTTGTGATATTCAGCAATACGTTACTCAGTGCAAATGAAAAAACATACATTTGTTGTAATATATATATTATCCATGTTTCGAGATATCTTTATTTTTCCCTTGTAAATAGTGAGAGTCAAAATGACATGACATAATTTAAGTTATAAATATTGCCAAGTTATCCGACTTTTCTCCGCCGAGGATAACCCATAATTTTTCACAGTGTGAGAAAATTCATGGACAAGTATGTTGTTGGTGGAATGATAAGGGTCAGCACCGTTGCATAAGATATTGTCAGAGAGTATAGCTGTCCTTCTACCCCCGGCACCGGCAAGTGTATAGTATTTTCTACCATCAAATGTACAGGAGTGTTGACAGTGACCAGCGCAATTAGCTGCAATTAATAGCTTATTTGGTTATACAATGATAGTAATGTTCATTACTTGATCAAAGTAAATTAACAATCACACTTTGTTAGCCGTTTGTCTGCTTGAAGCGATCACTACTCCAATGTTGTGCTGTTATTTGATATCGAGATAATTGGATGAAATCAAGCCAATTAAGTTGGTGACATTAAATTTTTACCAGACAATGATTTTTGTGGTATTTTTAGTTTCAACTTTTTGGCATTTTCTAGTTGGGTGGTTCCATTATTCCTACTTGAATAATGTTGAATCACCCTTAGGATATGTTGCCTGCTTTTTAAATTTGTCTTTTGACGTCTTATCTGTGATACGCAGGCATCATAACCTCAGATCCCCTTTCAAAATTCCATTTTATTTAGTTCCGCCCATTGTTTTCTCGTTTAGGGCACACGCATTTTTTTACTTGGGGACCATATGCCGCTTTTCATGGAATGGCACTAACGTGTCACATTGAAGGTTCCATGATAACCGCCATATGAACACATCTGCGGATGTTTCAAAATTCTAAATTTTACCAGTTCATGTTAAATGTTGAATTCTGCTTAAGCCGGTGCTAGGGGGCGTGGACGGTAACTTGCACTTGACAGTACCGTCCATGAACAGGCTCAATCAAACCGAGTTTGCAACATTTTCAATTTTGCCGTGTTGGGCTTTCTTTAGGGATTCTGTATTTATCTATCTATTCCGAGTATGCAAAGGGTAAGATAAACTTAAAGTGACATTATGTTCATTTTGCCACGTTAATCTAAATTGTATATACATGTATATTTCAAACGAATGACTGTTATCATGGCGATTAACCAACAGATGATATTGAAAGGTGTTTAAGATAGCTCTGCCTAAAATATAAAAAGAATGTCAGGTTTCCACAATTTTTATAACTTGAACGTGAGATTGATATTTTACAGAAATTCCCTTTCACCTATTCACTCACTAGATACTCTTGGATCGGTAAAGATGTCACTTTAACATTTAGAAATTCCTCAAAGAAAGGCTGAAAATATATCAGTGTCAACATATATGTAACCTAAAACAAAGGGTCACGTCAGTGTGTATGTGCTTCCGGGATCACAGTGATATCAATTCTATGTGTAATAATAGGTAACTGGTGATATTTGAAAGTTGCTATATTGATACTCACTATATTCATTTAATATACATGTATTAAATTAATTTATGATGAATAAAAAGGCCCAAATATATATACTTGATTGTGTATGATTTTGTTCAAAAGTATCTCAACAATAAAATAACAGAAAACAAAAAACAAAGGATCCAAGTTTAAAATACATGTACTTTAAACTGCACTTTATTTAACTTACTTGTACCACAGTCAGCAGGGTTCCTTACACTAGCGTACTCCGGGTAAATGGTGAGTGTCTCTGACTTGGAGAAAATTCCAATCTTCGCGCTTGATGCCAGTCTATTGAAAATATCGGATGGCATGCGTTGTGTCATTTTCTTGGCAGTACATGCAGCCTAAGAAGAGAAAAAAAAACTTTACTTTTATTTTTGATGCCTGAGGTAATGCACGGATGGGCATATGATATCTTCCTTCGCCAGTATTGCTGGAAAGTAACCATACGACCTATAACGACCTGTAACCTAAATTGTGTTGGTGCGCTGTAAAACCAAACAAAATATGACCTATAAGTGTTGTTGCGACGTACGTAAATTCTAACCCCCATCCCCCCAAAAAACCTTGAATTTCAGATATTTGCATATTGCGCATAGGGGATATTTTTTTCATCTCCACATTGATCCATTGTAATATATAGTTATATACGGAAGTACTAGATGAAATAATCACTTACAGTGTAAATGGTCCTTAAAGTTCTTAAAATTATGAATAAATTATCGTAATGCTAAACGCATGAAGATTAATTTCATCTGGCTAAAAGCTTGAGGTCAAGTTGCAAATTTGTTTCTCATAGAAGGAAAACATCTAGAATTAAATATTACATAAGAAAACGTAAAAAAATAGGAACAAGTTTCTTGCCACTCAGCAAGTTTATTCACTTACTATGTGTAGTGCTTGATCTGGAACGGAGTAAGTTGCGTCCACTCTTATTCGGTATCCGCCACCGTCTGATGCCGTGATGGCACCATTATGATAAACGTATCTGGACTTGAGTGACAATCTACGCATGCGCGTCTCATTCAGTAATTTGACAATTATCGACCTTCATCACAAAACAAAAGGTAGGCTATAAAAACGAGTAGTAACAGATCGTTCTGCATGAAAAGTAGCAGAAAAATATGTCTGGTCAAAAATCATAAAATATCATCATCAACAGCAAAACTCGGGTACAACTGCTATGGCAACAGTTACATGTAAGAAAAGAATAAAGATTTGTGTATACTTAATGTTCAACGTATACATGGAGTCTGTATTTGTGTTGAGTCCATGCATTTTTTGCTTTGTTTTGTTGTTGTTGTTTTTTCTTCTTTTTTTCTTCTTTTTTTTTCAAAGTCCCTTATATAGGTCTCATTGAACTCTTATATGTCAAGACATGTTAATATGATTCTATATCTTGACATCTTCATAATCGTAGCAATGAAAAATCAATTTTAGGAAAAGATGGTAATATAGAATCATTTTCCCTGAGATTATGAGATTAACTTATTTCACGGCGTCTCAACGCCGTGATATTGTGATGGGTAGTTTTCGGTAGCATGGGCAAAAGTCACGTGACAAAATTCCTTTCGATTTCTACAGCCGACATTTTATTGGCTTTTTACGCAATCATTGTACAGCCCATTTCGGTGAAAAGTTACATCGAAACATTTTCCTTTCAAATCATATACATTTGTAGAATCTAAACAGTATTTCTATCAACACGCGAAATATCAGCGTGATATATTTACACAATTCCGCACATCCTTTCGACACACTTGAGAAATTGAATACTAAAACCCGGATTTCGA